TCATGTCTCTAGTTTTTCAAATTATTGAAGACTATGATCATATTGTTCATACAATTTGCTTCCACTAGTAAAAGCAAAAGGCCTAATGTGCAATATGAGTGATGGCAATGTGAACCCAAGAATGACAAAGAGTAATGTCATATACGTGGTTGTGTTTAGCATAGCGCTAAACAATACCGTACTCTTAAATTTGTAGTTGATCTATATCAACATTCTATAAGGGATGAAACATGAGCTACAGAAATAAGATATGAAGATTGGTTGTTTATGCTAGATCTTATGGGACCACATAACAACACTTCTCCTTTTCTCGTAAAGAGAACATCACATAGATGGACATGATGATCATTGAATATGCTTCGAATGATTTGTTTTGAGATTTAGGATAATCTCATGGTCCATTGATAATATGTGATAATGTCCATCGAAGATGTTGTAATACTTGTGTTGTCAACGCATAACTATTGTGGGTATCATATCGATGTATTTGATACTCGGCAATACTTATGCATTTCTATATATTAGGCGAGAATCTCATTAAACTCTTATCATATATAGATCGTATGGGAATCATTCCAATGAAGGAAGGATATGTGCCTAGTGGACATTTATATCACAAACTCTATAATTAGGGAAGCAAAATATTCCTGGTTCTTATGACAAGAAGAGGGAATATTTCGGCCATCGCTAATGCTATGCAATGATAGTTTGGCCTATTTTGCCACTATCATTCTTCCTTAGATACTGAGTTAGCAATTGATGATATTTAATTATGTCCTAATTCAACTTATATCTTACTAAATTTTAGAGATATCTAAATGTGTTTTCGTATGTAAACACAAAAGGACAACATTGGATATGGCATATAAGTAATGAGATAAGACTCATTTTGGTTGTATTATGCATACAACCATCCTCGTATAACATGTTGCGTATAAGATAATTTTTCACATTGTTGATGCATTTCGGATTTGGAATGAACAACTTGGCCATCATATGGGATGAGTGAAAAATTATTGGCAATTCTTTTAGTCATAATTTTCCCAAAGTGTGGAGATGATAAGTGCCACAGGGAAACAGATTTTAAGACCCTCTTATCTTAAAATCAGTTTGAATGTCTTTGATTCCTTGATCATATTCAAGATTGTATGGACAATTTAGGCATTTCATGGTTGTGAGGATACATCTATAAGACGATCTAGAGTGTGTGAAGTATCCACACTCGACCATGCATTTGGTAAATAATGGCTCATGTTTTGAGCTCATTATCTTGAACACTACTGAATTTTTGTGCGTACAATGATGATTGTTTGGTATAACAAAAGTTTAGTTACATATTCAAAAGGATAAATGGAATCTATGAGAAAGACATCAAGATCATAGTAGGACCATTGTTAGTGAATTGCTATTTGCCAACTTCGTGTTGGGGTCAGGTAGATTTACACATTCCTAATTTAAGATTAACTGTATATCCCCTATATGCATTTAGTACGTGGGAATCTATGAAGATTTCCTATTTGCGTAAGATTGGGTTACGTTGTATACGTCCAATCTCACCACCACAGCGTAAATTGATGGGCACATACAGGAAACTGGGGATCAATGTGAGATTTTAATCTTTGTCGATTGTTAAGTATCTAGAACCTCTTATGGAGGATCTATTTACAGCCTCATACGCTAGTTGTAGTTTGATAATTAGCATTTCCAGACATTAGGGGAAGATTTGAAGTACCATATATAATGCTAGGAAATTATTTGGAATGCATAAGCATTTCATGCTCAGGATCACATACTAAATGAACTGGATTTTGAGTTCAAAGAATTGTTGAATTACATAATATTGCAAATAAACTGCCAAATGTATTTACTGATTACTAAGGTATCTTTTAAACTCGTTAGTCCGTTGCAAGTATATGCCAGAAAGAGTGGTGGTACCAAGTAAAACCACTCAACTCCCAATTGTAAATAAGAGGGGGGAGAAGTATGGCCATAAAGTAGGATTATTCATGCTAGCAATAGAAGATTTTCCTTCTAAGATAATATAGTAAATGCAGGTCAACCTATGGTTGGCAATGGTAAATATTGGTTATTACCCAGTGGATGGATGTCATCCACAAACCTAGCTCAGACGTGCACCTAAATGTTGATGTTATGATATCAGAAAGCCATGACTCTCGTTTTAAGAAGTCACGATGAGTCATTCAGGGTATTTTGAGTTTTGATAACCGAAGAATTATATCATAGAAATGCTACATGTGTCGACACGTACTTCTCTGAATAAACCATATACAACATTTCAAGTCATCCAGTCAATAAGACCATGGCAGAATGCTTTGCTCACTCTTAATGGAACTTGTTGAGTGATGTAATAAATACAGAAATAGTCTTGCTCACTAGAAAAGATGTGTTTTGGGCTGTGATGCCAACACCTCATGGTACCTTTACTGTGGGTACAAAAGTGTTTTCATCCTCGAATGGATCGAGAACAATGTGGTGGTGAGATCAAAGCAAGACTAGTAGCACAAGGGCTTTACGCAAAGCCCAGGTATTGATTTTCAATGCAAATTATTCTCCATAGTAAGTGTTATAAATTTTTGATACTATCTTTTGATTGGCAGTACAAAAGCATCTATCATTACAGTTAATAGTTGATAGATGTAGTGATTGCATATATTTATATGATCACTTGATTTGATGTATTTGTGAAGCTTCCAGGAAGGAGTTCACATACCAACCCTCATACATAAAATCGCAACACATATTGTGTATTGCTTAAGTCAATATATGGCTTAAAGCAGTTAAATCGAATTTGGTACAATCGACTTTGTGTATTCCCTAAACTGAAGGGTTACAAGATTGATTACACGTGGTGTTCATTTTGAAGTCCATTGGATTTCATAGTGTTATATGATAGTTAATAATCTTGACATCATTAGTGAGGGACACATGTTAATAGCATGTTGTAATCTAAAGACGGAGTTTGAGATGGAAGATACGGACTAAACCAAAATTTCATTTTGTGTTTAAGATCCAAGCAACTTCTTTTAGGATTTTATACAAAAGCTATCTATATCCAGATCATATTGAGTGATTCAATATGAAGGTATCCTATGATTGTTCTATCTCATGATAGAGGAAGATTGTTTTATGCCATAGTAACTGAGATAAGATATTGGGACATGTGGTCCATTATCTCTGTGTTATTTATGCGCTAATAAATCTTGCAAAAGTTTCTGGTCGGATATTATTTTTGCAATGATTTGCTATCTATAGTAGCAGCCCTATTCCTACCAAATGTTGGTGGATCGAAATTAAGAATATCTTTTGATATCTCAAATAGCACATGTGGTCATGGTGTAATCCATGATCCGATTATGTGGATATAATAATTCTGGTTACCTATAAGATCTCCAAATTCCGGATCATTGAAATAGACTTTACATGAATATGGAAAGACCATTTTGTGATAGTCTTTAAATAAACATTTAATGGTCAATTCCATTAATCATTCTGATATTGTACTTTATAAGGCTTCACATGAATGTGTATAGCTTGACAAATGATATATCACATACTGAAGTTATATGGTGTTGATTCTATAAATCAATGGCCATTATCTATAAAGGTAATGCAACTTGTGTTGTGTAGATAGAGACAAGTTATATTTGATGCAATATTTTGCACTAAGATGGTTCTATTCCATAGGTGATATGGGCATATGAACATTTACAAACTAAGTCTTGTGATAATCTTACAGAGATATTCACAGAAATCTACCATACTCCACATTTTTTATGTGTTGAGGGAATTGGTATGAATTTACTTTAATGTTTGCTAGTATCAGGGGGAGAGTCTCTCTGATTAATAACTTGTTGCAAACATCATATTGCACTATTTTCTTTGTATGAGTTTTTTCCTTTGGCTTTCTCATATAAAATTTTTAATGAGACAATATCAACACAAGGTTATGTCATATCATTCATTTTTTTCCCACATGGGTTTTTAGAGGGTGATATTGTGACATATAATGCATTGCACTCTTTTCTTTATGTGAGTTTTTCATTTATGATTTCTCATATAAAGTTTTTGATGAAGCAATGTCAACACAACGGTATATGCTATATCATCTATTTTTCTCCACTGGAGTTTTTTAGAAGATGATATTTGAAGCATATTGACCATATGGTCAAGATGTTTTTAGACTAAGGCTTTGGGTTTATCTCAAAGGGTCTAATAACATTGGTGATTGTATATCATGGTATTTCTCCTTATTTTTTTACTAGGTTTTAAGGAGTTTTGTCTGGTATACTTCTATTACTTTGATTTTTTCCATAGGGTTTTCTAAAAATTCATAAAGATGCATAATAGACGAACAGTGAAGACTATAAGGAGTTAATTGATCAAGGGGGAGTGTTAAGAATTATTATTTAGTGATCAATTAGGGATTAATCCAAGATGTGTCTTTTCACCCCTCTCTCTTTCACACTTGTAACCGTCCACATGGGCCTTATATATATGTACACACTGTTTATTGAAAATACAATATAGAATCATTTGCATCTCTCGATTTTGTCTCGCTCTCTACTTTCAATAGAAACTACACATTGAGAGACCACGTTTCATTCTCAGTGTCACGTCTTGGAAACCGGGAGGCCTAACGAGTTGCTTTTTAGATGTTCTCTTTGCTCCAAGTCAGCTAGCTACGCTAGATAACTATCGGGAACGGCTTTAGAGAGTACGTAGGAAACAAGAAAAACGACTACGCTACAGTGTTTCGACTATAGAGCCGCAACTTCTGAAAGTAGTAAAAATTAAAATGTGGGAACGTTAATCAGGTTTAGTTTGACATGTGAACGCGTAAAGAAAAAGAATGGAAAGCTCGAATGCACAGTATGGAGAACATTTCTTTTGGCAGCTGCTAAACCAATTATTTCCACTGAAATGAGGTGCAAGCATCACAGCGCAGCTTCAGGTTCGGATGCGAAACTCTAGTTGTTGCATCACTTGTCCATCCATATGGTGCACCTGACACTCTTCCGTTGGAGCAGCAGGTCAAAAGCTTCATTGATGTCCTTGAGGCCGACTTCATGGGTTATGAACTTGTCAAGCTCCAACTCCTAGACAGAGGTAAATCCAAGAAGATTATTGCTGCAACAAAATGCCAGGAGTCCATGCATACAAAGCCAAGACTGGAACTATAATGGCGACACACTATGCTCTCGGTATGTCTGAAGCTGTACCTTGTTCAGGTACTTGGCGGCGAGAATGGGAATGTCCTGCTTAGGCTTCAGCCCTCCGAACATGGACCCGACGACAGACTTCCCGTGGAGGATCTCATGAGAAGAGATGGAGAGAGGGGCACCGTGCATTTCCACTCCAAGAATGATCGTCTTGCCCCACCCCTGGACGAAAGAAACAGAAACAGGTAGGGCATTCAGAACTCAAGATCGTTTCTCGATTAGCGGCGTGGCGCCATGAGTGTGCATACGTCTCGGGAGCTCCGAAATGCGTCGTTCATTAGCGCCGCCAGTCCAATGCACTCGAAGCAGTAGTCCGCGCCACCGTCGGTCATCTCGATGATCGCCTGTTAACAATCAAAACAGGGACACTTGCCAATGTGATGTTTTAGCGTATAGGGATACCCGTAAATCTAGACTTAAACATATTTGACTTCTCCAGAAACGACAAACACACTTTTTTTTGAGACAGAGAGAAAATATAATCTCTGCAACCGCGTCATTAAGATAATGGGTGTTTTTCTAATGTAGCCCTAAAAATGCATTCCCACGGGGAGTTCGAACTCTGGCTACTGGGTGCTACTAAAAAAATTGTCATCCAAATGGCAAGAAGCCAAGAGCACGAATGATCACCTGGTGGACAGGTTTCTCACCAAGTTCTTTGGGATTGATGAATTGTGTCACGCCGAACTTCTTTCCTGCAGGAAGAGGCAGCAGACGAAATGCGTCAGGACTTTTCACTTCAGAATGGCTTGAAGTTCAGAACAATTTCAATCAAGGTATAAGCAAAAGTGCTTGCCAAGTTCATATTTCTCAGGGTTTATATCCACGCCGATTATCTTTGACGCCCCACAAATCCTGGCTCCTTCAGCAACCTGCATGTCAAAATTTCAAACATTAAGCATTGGAGTGCCCAGAAAACTAAATTAACTTAGTAGAAGACGAAAGCTACAATTACGGAGTGAAGAAACTCTTTTTTTTTGGTATGTATACAAAAATAAGTATTCTGTCATCAAGGAGGATATATATATACTACGAGTTCTGCTCAACTAAATACTTCTCTTTTTGAAACGACAGCTGAATACTAGACAGAGGTTAAAATCTCAGTAAAGTGTTGGTGTCAAACTCTGAATTTCTGAGAACTGTACATATTGGTAGTAAATAAATGAAGAAAAACGTGGTGCTCTGAATGTGTTACTTAACCGCCAATCCTACAGCGCCGAGGCCAAAGATAGCGACCGAAGACCCAGGCTCAACTTTCGCCTGCTTCCATGCGGCTCCGACCCCTGCGATTTTCTTGGGTCAGAGTTAAATCACCAACGATTCCCCACAGCAACAAGCAAACGTGTCATCTGCGGCACCAACCCGTAGAGGCGCCGCAGCTGAGCAGGCAGGCGAGTGCCGGCGGCATGGCGGGGTTGACCTTGACGACGTGGTTCACGTCCACCACGGTGTACTCGGTGAAGCTGGACACGCCCAGGAAGTGGTGGAGCGGGCGCCCCTGGCCGTCGCTGAACCGGGTGGTGCCGTCGCGCGGCATCCCCGGGCGCACCGCGAACCGGTACTTGGAGCACATGTTGCTCCGCGTCGATCCGCAGTCCACGCACTCGCTGCACTGCCCCAGGAATATCGGCACCACCGCGTCGCCCGCGGCGAACTCCTCCACGTGCTCGCCGACGCTCTCCACAACCCTGCACAGGAGGCATGCCCCGTGAGCTCTTCTCAGCTTGTGACCAGGTTTCGATTAGCAGGCTCCTGATGGCAAGCGGCCTAGCGGCTATACCGTATGTCTAGCGCCCGGACGTCCAGCGTGCCGCGCGCGTCCGAACGCCCGCTCAGCCCAGCCGCGCCCGCCTTAGGCCCCGCCCCACGCGCGGACGAGCGCGCCCCCTCTAACGCAGCACCCCTGTCCGTCCGGCCCCAACGCCCCAGTCCGCAAGCCCTTAGGCGCGCCTCGCGCCCCCAGCTCGTCCCGCAGCCCACCGCGTCCGCCTTCGCACGCACCGCACGCGCGACGAGCACGCCCCAACGCCCCCTGACCGCAGCACCCTCGTCCGCTGCCCCAGCGACCACGTTCGCTAGCCCCCGGCAAGCCGCGCGCCCCTGTTCGTCAACCCCGGCTCACCACCGGCCAAACAATATAAAATATGAACAACTTGCTACAACATAAGACTAAACATTTAGAACATATTATTACAACATTTGTGTGAAGCATATAAAACATTCAGATCAGAACGATTGCAACATATGTCTAGAAAACAGGTGAAATATTTTGAAAAAAATGCTTACAACATGCCTCTGAAACACTTACAACATATGCAATATGTGCAATAAAACACTCGAATAAAATCCAGATCAGAACGATTGCAACATACCTTTGAAACACTTGCAACATATGTAACATGTGCAACATCCCCCGATCTACTTTTGCAACATCAAGATGAAAACAATTACAACATACTTCTGAAACGTCTGAAACACTTGAAACATGCATTTGTAACATATAGGTCCTCCTTGTTGTGGTGTCTTCAGCCGACCGCGGGAGACAATGTCTCGGCCGGCGATGACCTTCTCCCGGTGGCGCCGCGGTGGTGGTAGCGGTGCACGCCGTGGTCACGACGGTTGACTGTGGATTGGGCGCGTGATAGTGGATGGCCACGGAGGCCATGTGGATGGCCGGCCGGAGACAGAGTGATGGCCGCGTGGAGGAATAGTAGGCACGGGGCGGGGTGAGCGACCGGGGGCACGCGGTGGTGGCGTGAGGCGGCCGGGCGCAAGCGGCGTGGGCGGGGATGGCCGCGGCGGCCAGCGGAGTGGACCGAGCAGGATTTTTTTAGTCGCGCGGGGTGGGATGGGGGAGTAGGATGAGCGGTCGAGTGGATGATTACGGCGGTCAGCGGAGTGAGTCGCGCCGCGTGCGTATGCGGACGGACACCCTAATACAAGCATTATCGTATTTGGTTCCACCTCCTAGTTTAGTCCATATCACATCAGATGTTTAGACATTAATCTATAATATTAAAAATAGACTAATTACAAAACTAATTACACAGGATTGAGACTAATTTATGAGACGAATCTATTAAGCCTAATTAGTCCATGATTTAATAATGTGGTGCTATAGTAAATATGTGCTAAAATGATGGATTAATTAGGCTTAATAAATTCGTCTCGCAAATTATTCTTCATCTGTGTAATTAGTTTTATAATTAGTTCATTGTTTAGTCCTCCTAATTAACATCCGAATATCCGATGTGACAGAGACTAAACTTTAATCGCTAGATCCAAATAGTTACCAAATATAACCGCTAGGCCTTTAGCTCTGTCAGGAACCCATCAATTCCTTTACTGCCATGGATTTCTGAAGTTCTAAATAAATTTGTTGGTGGCATGTCAATTGCTTTGAACATATTGTTCGTTGAAGTTCCTAACATATTTGAGGGGTAATTATTTTTATAATGCAGAGGAGGTTGACTCGGATAAAGAATAAAGGATTATTTTAAATTATTTTTTATATTGGCATATGTGGGTAATTGAAAAGCAAATTTTGGTTTGCTTTGCATTATCTTTGAGAATGGTATTTGGTAGATCTGGAAAATTTATAAGCAAATTCAGGGGTTACTTTAAATTATCCTTTATAATGGTAGAGGTGGACAATTTAGATGTAGATTTAGAAGGTTATTTTATGTATTTTCATAGTGACAGGCCGACAGGTGTGGATTATTTAACAAATTTGAAGGTTACTGTATGCATTTTTATAATGGTAGAGGTATGTAATTTTTTAGAAAACTCAACAGAATATATATTGTGATTAGAATATACTAAATTGTATCCTAGATATATATTTATATTTTTTATTATAATTTTTTGAATTTATAGTTGTTCATATAGTGTATTTCATGAGTAATATGATACTCTATTAGACATTTCTAATTAATAATTTTAAGATTTTTTTGCAATTAAGAACCACTAATGTAACTATAAAAAGTCAACTTGTATGACAACAACCCATCTCTCGACGGAACATTGATTAGCTAAAGCTAAGTCAACTGTCGGATCTATGAAGAATTCAAACTAGAATAAGTGGCCTGGCCGCCTAATCTTCATTCAAAACTGAGGACGTCAGCTTAAATTGCATTAGTGTGTACATTAGGTGGAATGTAGTGTGTTCTTTTCTGAGCTGCTAACCAACGACATTTGCTACTTATTCCCTTTTCGCAGGTAAATATTTTTTGTGGAGGTGAGATCACCCCATTTCCATTAAGCAAACAGAAATACAAGTATATTTATAGATTTAGAAAGTTATAGGGAGCGAACGAGCCTAAAGCACGAAATCAGGACATTATTATGTACTTAGTTGAAACCTTAGCTTAAACTATATCAGTTTTTAATCTTTTTTTGTGGTCCCATTAATCTGTATTTTCATTTTGGCTTTCAAATTTGGATCTTATTAGTTGTAATTTGTTTACCAATCCAAGTGTTAAAGTTCAGACTCTTGTGCTCATTTTGTCTTTTATTTAAAATTTTCCTTTAAATTTTATTAAGAAGGTGGATTCTAGGTCCTAGACATACTCCATTCTTATTTATTACAATAACATAAACAATTATTTTATCCTGCACTATGGCGCATTAGATGTTGAATTTCCTCGATTATATGTAGTAGTAGTATCTATACAAATTAGTAATTAGAATTTAGGAACCAATATTAACATGTTACAAGGTTACAAATGTATAAATTTATCTAAAGTAGCGACTTATAAAACATATTGTCATGGAGTATTAAAATAGTTTATAGTAAATTTTTAGTGTTATTGGTATGTGGTTTTTTAAAGGAACATTTTCTAGGCCGATAAATAAAGAACTAAAATAAATGTATATCATACTTTTTGCATGTGAATTGGTCTAAATGGCACATACCATTTATGCTTACTTTAATTGATAGTTATATAAGCATGTAATTTAGAAATGCTTATTTGATGGACATTTTGTTTTATGGTTATTGAATCATTTTCCATAATAATAATATTGACATATAGATTTGAGGGGTATTTTATTTTCATTTTATAACGCAGAGGAGGTTAATTTGGATTAAAAATAAAGAGTTATTTTAAACTGTATTTTATAATGGCACATGTAGGTAATTGAAAAGTAAATTTTAGGATTACCTTGCATTGTCTTTCATAATGGAAGATGTGGAAAATTTAGATGCAAATTTAGGGTTTATTTTAAATTATTTAGATGTAGATTTAGAAGATTGTTTTATGTATATTTCACAATGACAAATTTGGATTATTCAGATACAAATTTATAAGTTACTTTATGCGTTTTTTATAATGGGAGAGGTATGTATTTTTTTTAGAAAACAGAATAAATCCAATGGTTATTATTGATGATATGGTTAAAGATATTAAATTAAATGCTACATGTCTATGATTTTTGGTGTAATTTCTAGGACTTTATTTGTTTGTAGTGTATCTTATGAGGATTAATACGAGCCTCCATTTGACACCTCTAATTAGCTATATTAATTTTTTCCTGCAAATAAGAATAATTAATGTAACTATAGATAAACTCAAAGTTGTATGTCAACGGCCCATCTTATGTCAACGGCCCATCTCTCGCGCGCCGGAACATTGATTAGCTAAAGCTAAGTCAACTATGGAATTTCTGAAGACTTCAGACTAGAATTGGTACCTTGGCCGCCTAATCTTCATTCAAAATTGAGATATCGACACGAACCAGAAGAGGACGTCAGCTTCAATAGCATTAGTGTTTATATTAGGTGGAATGTAGTGTATTTTTTCAGTAGCTGCTAACCAAACAGCATTTGCTACTTATTCCCTTTTCTGCAGATAATATAAAATACCCTACTGATTAAAATTTAAAAAAACATATCAGCTTGTAAAACTTTAATTATAGTATCTCACTCTAGTCACTACAGTACCCAACGTCACCGTGCTACTTGCTATTCGTCAGAATTCGCCGAAGCGTGAGCGGTAATAACACAAATGTCATTTGCTGGTTATACTAGTTTATCGGAACCTTTTGACAATCGCATCATGTCCACTTTCTACAGGTGAATTGGTGAGCAGCAGTATACATCAAAGTTCAATTTCCATGCTATCTTTTCTTTTATGAAGCGTCAGCTACAAAGACAGCCACGAAAGACGACACAGATCATGTAGCATTTCAACGTCAAACATCACTCTAGCCTTCAAGTTTTGCTAAAAATCGACAGCCTCGATGGGAACGCAAAGACACGGCATATTATAGAAAGAAAGAAAAAAAAAATGTGATAAAAGGGAACAGCGAACAGGCCGATTATGTACGCGAGCACTCAGGGTTTTTTTTGTCAACGAATGCTGTTGAAATTGAGTGAGCAATAGAAAGAAAGAAAAAAATGTGCGGGAAGGAACTGTGTAGCGAGCACTCACCCGAAGGCTTCGTGGCCAAATATTCTGGGAAAAATGCCTGGGAAATCTTGCAAAGTTCACACAAACAGACGAAGTATACGACACTGTACGCCACGGCGATGAGGGCCACAACAAGGCCGAAGGCCGGCGATTGCAGGAACGGACATGGAAGCCAAACCTTCATGCGCCAGAACGTGACGTCGCTGTGGCAGAGCGACGTGCAGATGATCCTGATCCTGACCTCGTGCGACTTGGGCGGGTCCACGACGATCTCCTCGATGGCCAGCGGCTCGCCGGCGGCCCTGCACACGGCCGCTGCGCGTCGCCGGAAAGGGAAGCCGGTTAGCTTGGACTAATATGGCCGATGGGACGGGAGAAAGACGAGCTAGGCAGCGAAATCGAAACTATGCTGCAGAGCTCAAGAATCCAGCTGCGTACCTTTGCATCGGATGGGTTTGGGGCCATGGTTCTCCATCGAAGATGCAAAAGACTCGCCGGTGGTGCCCACTGCCCAGTAAGATGCGTTCGAAGGGTCAAGAACTCAAGAGCGCACGGTGGCTGCGAGAGCCCTGAGCAGGCGTTGTTGTCCGCTCCGCGATTTGGCGTCGTGGGGAAGATGCTCTCGCCTTGCCGTCGCTGACTCTCTTAAACTTTTCTTTTTAGAATTTTATTTATAGTCAGTTCTTGTCCATCTCATCTACTGCAAAGTACCTTCAACCTAAAAAGGATGGAGCTCAAATTCTGCCTTTATTCATACTATCTATGGTTTCAAAAAATTCATATAAAAATAGTATCACTTTTTTTTGTGAATTAAAAATAGTATCACTTATGACACTAAATGCATACCATAAAAATATAATGACACCTATTTGGCATCATAAATATTGATATCTGTTTTATAAATTTAGTCAAATTTAGAAGAGTTTGGCTCAATACTATACTAAAATTATATTCTTTTCGGGCATGAGATTATCTATCTATTTATCTTATACAATAGAGTCACAATAAACTAATCCCTCCGTTCCAAATTATAAGTCGGTTTGACTTTTTTTTTGTACATCCATTTTTCTATGCATCTAAATATAATGTATGTCTAGATACATAGCAAATTCTATATACCAAAAAGTCAAAACGACTTATAATTTGAAATGGACGGAGTACTATATATATTGCTTGAGAGAGTCTGGGAATTAAGAAGTCCATCTCACAAAGATTGATACTTTACATTCAAAAAATGCCCCACAAAGAATGCCATTTTACCTTGTGGACCATACAAAGGGGAGCATGTCCTAAATTAAATCCTACATGCTCCTTGCAATTGTATGGCGCCAACCACATGTCACCTAAATGGATGCAGTAATTAATCTGGCATCGCTCTTGGAAATGACAACTAAAGCTAACAAATAGGGGTACTCATAGCCATTTCATCTCTACTGTAAATAAACATGATAAGGGGCTCTACTGTAAATAGGCTTTATGCTGAGTTGGATGAGAAAGATGAGAGAGAAAAGAAATGGTATGTAAATTCATAGCCGGCTGATGTACAAGCTCCAAAAAAAATTGTGAGAGAAAAAAGTAAGCCATATATTAATGATGAAGTATGATCTAGTAGCTAACTAATATATGGGTTGGCTCCCATATTGGCAAGTTATTGGTGCCTTCCCTGTTCTAACTCTTTCAGAAGACAGTAGAGCTCTCTCCAACCTCCATTTTGTTGGGTTTATTTTGTAATTTGAGTGAGATCCTATGGATTGAGTCAAGAGATTTGGTGTGTGAAAGCACTTCTATACAATCCTAAGCCTTGAGCACTTGGTGGCTACGTCAAACAACTGATGGAACATTTTTTGTTACCGTTGTAGATGATGCTTCCTAGACAACTAGAAGATACCCCGCTCATTGCTGCGGGATTTTTAATAGCACACATGGAGTTATCTCTTTTTTCTTTTCTTTTGGTGTAACCAATAGTGAAAACTTGACCGGGCAAAACTTTTGTTTTGTAGAATCCTATATATTTATATATTGTGGATCTCTCTAGAAAACTGGTTGAAGAAATATCATCTGTCTACAAAGCTTGTTCACATAGTACATTTTGTAAAATATGCCAGGTTAAATATTAGAACAAATGAAAAGGAGTGGAGATAAATAAAGGGGTACTACCTGATGGGATATTTGTGGCACAATAAATATGGAAATATGAGTAAGTTGTGCAACCAACACTTATTAACAGAGAGATCAAATCATTTTACAACGGGTTTAAAAGAACTTCAAATAACCATTGATGTATTAGATTGGTACGTACTGCAGCATGCGGGCAAACATATGGAAAGGAAAAAGGGGATGACAAGATCATGATGGTTGCTTAAAATCAAATGATTGGGGTAACAATTATGACGTGGCACGTTGTGGTATAAGATAGAATTTGTAGTGTGGTTTTGCTTTATAAAAGACAGATAGATTAGGCCTCTCTTGGCGAGCACCAGAGCTTGTGGAGTACGTACCATGGGATGTTTATGATGGCTGTGACCTTGTCTCTCGAAGAAAAAAGATCAAGCTAGTAAAACGAGGAAAGTGGTTAAAAGAGACCCGGACTTAGCTTAACCATTGGGTTGCTTTGGGTTTCCTCAACGGAGCAATTTAGTGAGCCTAGACTCCGAGAAACAAATTCTTGCGTCTCTATTTTGTTCTACGTTTAGTTTACATTTATATCTCGTGTTTGTGCTTTTATTTTGATCTACTTTGGTGTACATGTTTGTAAGTATAAGAGCTACAAAAAAATAAACATCTATTCCCTCGTTCCTAAAATAGTTGACGCTTCAGTTTGGACATGGAAATTTAGGAGAAATGAAAAGGTGTGGACGCGTGGTGCACATAAAACAAGAATGAGAGAGATAGAGATGTATTGAAAAAAAAAAATCGGAAGAAGAGAAAGGTATGTTAAGAAATAATAATGACAATTATTTTATAACAAAATTCGAATCCTATGTCCTCAGCTATTTTTGGATACAGGAAGTACATAAGAACGTCTCCAAGTTTGGTTTTGGTTGGAATTAGATAGGGATCATTTACATTATTTGTTTGTTGTTTTGCTGTTAAAATCAGCCAAGCAAGTTGTTACTAACTCTTTGTTTAAATTGTAGAAATAACCTATTAAACCATTTCTCAGTCTCGACTTAATAACCTAATTAACCGAGTAGGCTATGAAAGCACTCGCTAACACTATCCATGTATTCCAACAGCATCTATTCATTTGACTCCAAGGTAGGCACTAGATATATCATGATTTTATAGATAAACAAGCATCTTCAAGAGATTAGCCAAAATGATTATCCAAATTTAGTGATTTAGCTATTCTCTAAAATGAATCTCGCTTAAAAAAAAACTAGACTACTCCAACAGACTATCTAAATTGAGACGCACGAAATAGGCTATCCAAAAGTAGAGAGCGAATGAGGTGGGATAGAGAGCTAGTAAACTTGGAAAGTTATTTACAGAGTTTGTTGGAGACGTTTTTTTTCTTTAATAATAGCCAAATTTATCTTTAGAAAACTATTAGGCTTATCTAGGATTAGGATTGGCTTTAAATGGGCTGTAGTTGCGTCGCCGGCAGGCCTGGATTAGGATTGGCCTGGACCGGAAAACCAAGGAGCTTCACTCGCAAGCTGTGTGTGTGTCTCTCTCTCTCACGCGGTTATGCCAGCTGAATGTCGGCTTGGGAGTTGGGAGCTTGCCTCTTCTTTTTTTTTTGGGGTATAATTCTGAACGTTGCTGTTCATAGGATGTTCGAATGAGCGATACAGCAGCTGTTCCATATATTGATGTCGATAAATGAGTGACAAATACATTGTGATTAATCAATTCAGACAACGAAACGAAACTGGTACACCATACATCGGCTTTCAGGAACAGATAGTCTTGGTCGTCGCTAACACCAGTTTTCAGCGACGCATCGCATCGCCAAGCTGAAACACGGCAAATTTATTGAGAACCACAGGTTTGGTCCGGCGCTGCGCCCCGCTTGCCCATCACTTGTCCTTGTCCATCCGGATGATGCAGCGCAGACATTTCCCCTGCAGGAGCAGGTCGAAGGCCGTGTTGATCTCCTGCAGTCCAAGCTCATGCGTGACCAGCGCGTCCAGCTGCAGCTCCTTGTCCATGCATTTCTTGGCGAGGATGGGGATGTCGGTCTTGGGCTTGATCCCGCCGAAGAGCGACCCCATGACGCACCTGCCGAACAGCAGCTCCAGCGACGGCAGGCACACCTGGTCGCTGTCCCTTCCCAATCCCAGCACGACCGTCTTGCCCTTTCCCTGCGGACACCATTTTTTTTTTTTTTGGCAACTGTTAATTCCTCCTCCTTGCACGGAGCTGGCTTCGGTTCACAAATCACAAGTTGACAACGAAACGAACCATCTTGGTGCATCTGAAGGCGTCGGTCATCACCGACGGCACGCCGATGCACTCGAAGCTGTAGTCGACGCCGCCGCCGGTCATCTCAACGATCACCTGCAGTTGAACACAGAACGTGAGCAGGTGATGGACTTGCTGCCTTGTGATAAGACTGGGACTGCGATGGCTTCATGATCCTTACCTCTATGACGGAACGGTTGTCTAGTTGCGATGGATTGACGAAGTCTGTCACGCCAAACGATCTCCCTGCGATAAGAGTCAAGAGTGGAGTGGACAATTTTACTTCACTTCATTCAGTTTTGAGATACAGAACAAGCTAGCAGCTGGCACTCGATAATGCATGGTGCGGTGCTCTGCTCTGCCACAAAATGGAAAAGGATATCGATCCATCGACTTGCCTACTTCCTCCTTGTCAGGGTTGAGATCAACACCGATAATCTTGGATGCTCCACACATTTTCGCGCCTTGGACCACCTGACAACCCAAAGTGTGACCGTCACAAGTTACAGCTCCTGCTGCCGATCTACTATCAGCTAGTGGCCAAGTACACACTTGTGCAGTATATGTATATGTATGATTAACAAGAATAAACAAGATACGGGCAGGACACGGGCTTACCGCCAAACCGACAGATCCAAGCCCAAAGACAGCAACAGCCGAGCCCGGCTCCACCTTGGCCGGCCTCCACGCTGCTCCTACCCCTGAGAAATATTGAACGTTCTTTCTGTCACTCAGCATAGTAGATCGAATCGAACACCAGCAAAGCTAGTGGCGACTAGCTACGACGGCGCTGCGCTCACCGGTCCCGGCGCCGCAGCTGAGGAGGCAGGCGAGCTTGGGTGGCACGGCGGGGTCGAGCTTCACGACCTGGTTCACGTCCACGACGGTGTACTCGCTGAAGCTGGACACGGCGAGGAGGTCGTGCAGCGGGCTCCCCTGCGCGTCCCAGAACCGGGTGGTGCCGTCGCGCCGCATCCCGGGCCCGATGATGAACGGCACCGAGTCGCACAGGTTGCTGTGCTCCGACGTGCAGCTGCCGCAGTGGTCGCACTGACCCAGGAACGTCGGAACCACGGTGTCGCCCGCCGCGAAGCCCTCCACGTGCTCCCCGACGCTCTCCACTACCCTGCATGCGTTGCAACGCCGTGCGTGCCGACCCGGCCCGGGTGGATAATAATTAATTAAAAAAAACATGAGAATCTATCCCTGAAAACATTGTCAGAACAAGCAAAGGATCGCATGATTCTGGACACAAGGGAAACATGCATGGGCATACCCGTATACGCTTCGTGTCCTGATATTCTTGGAAATGCCAGGTGCCACCTAATAAAGCGAAAGGAATAGAAAAACTTGAGTTGATTAGTGTTTGCAGCCATTGAGCTTCCATATATTCATCCATGGAATCTCCCGGTTTGGTGCAGAGAGCTAGCGCTGGGCACTACATATACCTTTAGCTTTCCAGAAGGTGACATCTGTGTGGCAGAGTGAGGTGCAGGTGACCCTGATGCGGATCTCGTGCGCTTTGGGCGGATCGACGACGATGTCCTCGATGGTGAGCGGCTCGCCGGCGGCTCTGCATACCGCCGCTGCGTGTTCGATGCACGCCACGCCCCGAGCGAGGTGACATCAAAGGTTAGAGGTTAACAGCAACATCGCACTCACATCCATGGCGAGTAGAAAAAGCAAGGAGGTTGCAGTAGTACCTTTGCCATGGATGGGCTTGGGGCTCCGGTCCTCCACCATGGCGAACTGGGATGATGGGACTCCGAGGCTGGCGGCTGAAGAGATCGATCTCGAACGCAGAAGGGGGCCAGAGGCACACAGCTGAAGTGCCGGAGTCTCACTGTATATAGCCATGCAGCCCGAGCCCGTCAGCCCGGCACGAGGCCCTTTTTTTTTTGGCTCGGCCCAAGCACGGCCCGGCCCGGAGGAGCAGGCCGTGCCTAGGCCTTACCTTAGGCGCGTGGGCCGGTCCGGCCAACAACGGCAGGCCCAGTGCCAGCTCGGTGCCCCCAACGGCTCCCTCGCCTTCGCTGCAGGGCGACATTCAGCCCAGCCCAACTCCCCGCCTCACCCTGAACCCTAAATCCTACCCGGCTACCCTGCTCCCCGCCGCGTCGCTCTCTCGTCTCCTCTCAGCTCTCACTAGGTCACCTCGGCTCCTCCCATTCTCACCTCGCAGCTCACGCTTCCCTCTCGCCTCTTCCCCGCGTGACGACATCTCCCCTCGCTCATGGGTCTCTCTCTCCTGCCATGGGCGTCGTCGCCTTTGATTGAGCAGCGGGATGTCGGATTCAAGCGCCACCGTTCCTCCATGCCTCCCAGCTGGCCCCACCTCTAGGGCGGCCAGTGTGGCCACCGGATCTGCCTCCTCTGGGCGAAGGCATTGAGCTGTCTCTCCCCTAGCCATGTGATCGTCTTCCTCCCCGCGAGAAAGCGTCATGGCTAGATTCAAACAGCGACGGCCGGATTCAAGCGCACCGGCGACCACCTCCTCCATGCCTCCCCGCGCGGCCCCACCTCCAGGGCGGAACTTGTTGGCCGATCGGATCGCCTACAGGGCAAGTCTTGTGCGTGGCGGCCTCCGTCCGTAGCTACCTCGCCTCCCGCTCTCCCTTCCTCTCTCGTGGGCCTCGGGCTGGCCCGACACGTTGATTGGCTGTGCTTTTCGGCCGCCCAGCCAAAAAACGGCTCAAAGAGCGCTGTGCCTAGGCCGTCGGCTAGGCCCGTTGCCCTTTTAGGCACGGCCCGATGGGCCCGTGTGCCGTGCCTGGCCCGTTAGCGCCGGGCCGGCCCGTTGGCCATCTTTGAGTCTCACGAGTATCCAGTACTGAGGAGCGCGGCCAAGTGCCATATATAGGCCCCACCTGCCATTCTACTGTAGCGTGACGGACTGACGGCTGCTACTTCTTTTTCACAAACAAACGTCCTGTTCGTTTGGGTTTGTTTGGTTTATAAGCCATGACTGAAAGTACTGTTGGCTGGTTTGGTGTGAGAGAAAAATATTGTTCGTTGGCTAATAAATCATAGCTTATAAGTTAAATACGACGAAGCGAATAGGCTAAAAAAAAACGGCTGCTAATTTGCCTTTGCACGGCGTCTCCAAGTATGGCAATAATAGGAATAGGAATCTTCATCGTCCCTGCCAGGTCTATCCATACTAGTGATCCTTAGTAAAGGCAGTGAAGGGTTGATGTCTGCATTAGTTGCATGATTGATAAACTTCGTCTGTGTACATCAAGCAGCAGCATCACATCGTATCGTACTTTCAGAGAGCTAGGGTTATATGCATGCATGTGTGCATCTGAGTGGCTGCTTCGGCTGATTATTAGTTAGCCCACCTCATGCCTGCTCACGCAAACTGCTAGGCTGCTATGACAGAGCTTTAATTAAGACTTCTAAATTAAGCCAACAAACGGATGCTGCAAACTGTTCGACAGCGACATCATATCGTGGCTTTCCTTTTTCTTTTCTTTCTCTCAAATTCACAGAAAATATGCACATCTTAATATTATTATTATAGATGTAGTAATCTAGTGGACTAGTACAACTTGCTGCGGCGACCTGGGAGCACCACACAACCAAAGTCTTTTTTTTGTGGCTGTGATCTATAGACTAGGGTACAACGAAGATGTTCAAAACTAGTCTCTACTCCGTAGCTGTTACCCCCATCGGTTGCTTGCACTTGTCACTGAGCAGTGACAAGGTCTAGTGATGTGTGGACCGCCAGCATGTATAAAATGCTTGTGCCGGCAGTGTGGGCTCGACTCGGCTGCCGAAAGCCGCTATTGGCTGGTATCCTTGTTTACCTTTGGAAAAGGTCTATTTCACACCTTTGAATTATTGGAAGAGTCTGATTTTTCTCCTTGAACCCTGGATCATATAGTATTGATTCTCCCTGAATTATCATAATCGCCGCTTTAGGTGCTTTCAACAGCAATTTTAATGCACCACGTAAGTGATAACTGATAAGTCATCGCCAGGGTAATCAATTTCGGTATAAAAAATCAGCTACCCCAAAATTACTGAAATTTGGCCAAAAATTTCACCAAAATTTTTTAAAGACTTGCACATGAAGTGTGTTTTTTCTAAAAAAATAGATCTAAACAAATATTAGCATGATTATGACTACACATTTATTGACTAGAAGAATGTGTAACGTAAACAATAGAAAATATGAATCTAGAGTTATATAGCACATGTATTAGTGTATTAAAATTTTTAGATTTTTTATTTCGCCACCACCGAAATTCACGAAATTTCAGCGAAATTTTGACACCTGGTCGTCGCAGCCATAATTAATCAGTGATTGCAAACTGAATCGAAATGATAGAGATAAAAAAACAAAGTGACCAAAATCGAAAACATCAACCTTATGTTCTAAGTAACTGAACTATGTATGATTAATTCAGTATGTGCATTCGGATAACCGAAGAAAACGAAAAGGATCAAAATAGTGCAACCTTTGCTCAAGGCTCTGTGTGATTTTCTTCTTCGACGATGGCTCCATGCCTCCATCACTATTCGCTCTCATGCACGCATAAGCCAAGGGCCATCCCTAGGGGTGGGGCACTGGGGCAGTGGGGTGGTTGTTCCAGCCCACCCGAAATGAAGGGGCCCACACTACTCAAGAAGCCAACGTTCTAGCACCAAGATCCATCGAGCATGAGTGGACGAGGACGTGGAGAGCGATGAGTGGACGACTGAAGGTCGATAAAGGGGAGATCAAGGCAACAAATCCTATCAATAGTCGTTCGATTTGTGTTATTCAGTTAGACCAAGATAAATCCTGTAATCGGTGCTCTGATTTGTGTTAATTTGGACTGCAATGATTTCGGGATTTTTGTGCTGGCTGGTATAAAAAAGGAGAATGAGACTATATATTTATATTGTTTCGTGTATCTAAATCCATCTCTCTTTTGGGGTTGTGAATCTGTGATAAACGTGATCGGCAGTTCATTCATAACGGAAGTCCAGACCAAAATAATTGAACATTGAAGTGCTCGATCTCCACGTTCGTTTGGAACCGATCAACCTCTTGAGTACTTGAAGATTGGATTTTTATAAGGGAGTTACTGGCGCCCGAACGTTCGACGCAGCTTCAAATATCGGACGCTCAGCTCGCACGGCCCGCGCACGATTTAGCCGTGGTCGTGGGTGATGTCACCGCCGCCTCCTCCTCCATCCAGATCATCCGAGTCCCGACCCAGAACCACAATCCAACCACAGCGGGGGCCAAGCATGGCATGTCACACCTACGGGTCCACCATTCGATACCACGTGAATGCATCTGTTGGCCTCAGGCCCTTGCACGGTCACCCACGGTGGCGCCTCAGCGGCTGCGGCAGGTGAATCCCACTGCAACATGTGCAACACCAAATCTACTTTTGCAACATCTAGATGAAACACTTGCAACATACGTCCAAAATAGCTGAAACACTTGTAACGTACATATGAAACACTTCAAAACACCTAAAAAAATACTTCATTGCAAAACATATGCAACATCCAGATGAAACACTTGCAACATATTTATAAAAACACCTAAAATACTTGAAACATATGCTTGTATATGCAACATCCAGATGAAACGCTTGAAACATATGTCTGAAACACATGAAACATACACTTAAAAATACGTGTATAGCCATTGCAACATGTGCAACATCCCGATCTACTTTTGCAACACCTCTACTTTTGCAACATCGATATAAAACACTTGCAACATACCTCTGAAACACCAGAAACACTTGAAACATGCGGTTGTGACATGTGCTTTCAGCGCAAAACATCGCTTTGCTGCTTCAATGAATGGAGGCTCGTCGGCGCGTGGAGGTCACCAATGTGCTTGCCGGCGGCGCGAAGCTCGCCGGCAACGCGGAGCTGGGCAGCGGCGCACAAAGGGTGGGGTGGGGGTGGCACGGGCGGTGGTGGAATGTAGGTCGGGTGGGCGGCACGTGGAGGTCGCTTGTGTGCTCGCCGGTGACACGGACCTCAGTGGCACAGAGGGCGGGTTGGGAGTCACGACGGACGAATTGGGGTGGGAGTCGCGGGGTGCAGACTTGTCTGTCCGTACGAATGCCTTCCATGGGAGGGAACAGAGGTTGGTGGGGATCAGCTGGGAGCAAAGCACGACAGCAAGAAAGACATGTGGATGGATGCAGCGGCGCAGAGAGCAAGCAGGGAAAGGAGGATATGCAAGCATCCGACAAGCAGGGAGTGGGGGTTTTTTTATTAACTTGGGAGCGGGGAGTTAGCGGTGGATGAGGCGTCCGTCGGAAAGATAACCGTCCGGATGCCCTAATCCTAGTGTTTCCGTTTTTATAATGATCAATGAACTAAACCGAATGTCTTGGTCTAACCGAATGACCAACCCTATCAATAGTTCACGGCAACAAATGAACTACTTCAAAGAAAATATTTTCTTGATACTTTTTAAAAAATAAATTATTCAATTTCTTTTCCTCAGGGAAAATAAAGGCCATGTTCGCTTCTCTTATAATCCGTTTTTTCAGCTTGTTTTTTTAGCCAGAACAGTGTTTTTCTCTCATAACAAATCAGCCGAAACAGTGTTTCAGCTTGTTTTTTCAGTGAAGCAAACGGGGCCAAAGAAACAACATCAGTTGTCCTACCGCCGCTGCATCATGAAGGCATAAAACGATGAAGACGTCATTTGGAGGGTGAGGTGCAAATTCGTAGTACAGTCAATAAAACCCGGATGGTCCAGTTTCCAACTATACACC